ACTCACCTACTCTAACACCCCTGGTCACCATTCCCCTGCCTGCACCTGGTGGCTGTCTGAGTGCATGGCTCTAACCTGAAAATTGCCTCTTGAGCCAGGTCAGAAATACCAACTCCACATTTGGGCCATTCTCTTGATCAGTTCTGCTTTTAAATATTAGGGACCCTCTGACATTCATTTTTAGAAAACCTTCCCTCCCAGAAAACTCCTATTCATCCTACAATGCCTTTCTCAACCTTCCTATCTGAGGCTTTCCCTAGTGCCTTTGGGAAGGGTTCTTAGATCCTGTTCTTGCCCTTGGATATTTTGGTCACTGAGTAGAAGAGTCCAGAGGTTGCCAGTCCTGACAAGTGTGAGGGCAGAGACTGTGACTGACTGACTGTCTGTCTGTCTGTCTGTCTGTCTCTGCATTCCCTGTGCCATAGGGATACACACCTCACCATGTGTCCCAGGCTGGTCTCAAACTTGCCTTCCTGCCTCTGCCTCCCGAGGTGTATGACATTATATGAGTGTACCACCACACCTGCCATCCACCCCTTTGTGAGTGTTGCTTTGTCTTCAGCAGCCATCCTGAGGAGTGTTCTGATTCTGCGCCTCTCTCTCTCTCTCTCTCTCTCTCTCTCTCTCTCTCTCTCTCTGCCTGTTCCCTGCTACCTTCCATTCCTGGGGACCTGGGGCGGGGGTGGGGGGGCAAAAAGCTGTGCCCCACTGGCTCCTGCACCCTGTGGCCCTGGGGACAAGCCTACGGCTATTTCGGGTTTGCCCTCTCCTTCCTCTTCCACAGTCTAGAAACTGCCAAGGCCCTAAATATAGAGACCTACAAGTCGCCAGTCTGGGCCAGTGGCCACTGGCTTGAGGAAGGAATGGTGGAAGAAGACGGGGCCAGTTCCACAGTTCTCTAGGATGGGGAGTACTGTTAGGGCACAGGTACCAGGAGATCCCCAAGGGCTGCTGTTGGGCCCAGCTCTTTACACTGGATATCCCGTCCACTCTTGACACTGTCTGCTCCAACCCTTCTGGTCCATTCTCCCAGTCGTTGAGCCCATCTGGTTAGGTTCCTGCCGCTGAGGCTTTGCCTATCATTGGTCCCACCTATAAACATCATCATTCATTCATTCATTCACTCATTCATTCAGCCAGGCAGCACTGGGATTGCAGCAAAAACTAAGGAAGGTTCTCACCCCAAGGAACTTGTGAGCTAAGAAGCACCAGTGGGGCAGAGGGGACCCTCTGGTGGGCCAACCCCAGAAAGAAGCTGGGCTCTGAAGCACATGCGTGTTACCCAAGTGCTCAGGAGGCTGAGGCAGGAAGATCAAAAGCCTGAGACTAGGCTGAGATACAGAGCAAGAAGCAGTCTTAAAAAATAAAACAATAGTAAGACAGCGGAGGGGTTGGAGATGGCCGGCCCCATGGTTTAGAATGCTACTGCTCTTGCAGAGGGTCTGAGTTCAGTGCCCAGCACCCAGATGGGGCTTAACACTACAGCTCCAGGGACCCAGCATCCTCTTCTAGATTCCCCGGGCGCTTGTACTCATGTGTGCACCTACCCAAACACACCCCCCCACACACACACACGCTTAAAAAATACCTTTTTAGATAGAAAATACAACCTAACGATGTCCACGACTCCTTCGTGGGGACTGATCTTTGAGGTTCTGTTCCTGGGGTGCATTTACAGCCTGATTGCTTGAGACCTGAAATCTTACAGCTTTGGGCTGGTGTGAAAATTAGGATGCTGGAGGGCAGACTCTGGAGGAGAGTGTACTTGTGTGATCACAGGGACCACCAGAGGACCACCACGAAGTGCCACCAATATCTATGGCCTTGTATGCACCAGCCTAATGATGTCTCAGACTCAGGGAAGCTACCCCATGAGAGTTGGTGTTACACTTCCCACTTTCCAGAAGCCAGTCTGAGCAGATGTTTCCTGTTTTGTTTTGGGTTTTTTTTTGGGGGGGCGGGGTTGACCCCAGTGTCATTCCCTGCCTCAGGAACCCCTATAGACAGCTGGGAGATTGCATCTGGGAGATTGCATCTAGCTTAGAGCTAGAAGGCTGGTCTAGAATCCCCAAGTGAGGGTCTCTGGGGAGGTGGCTTATCAGTAAGGCCTTGGTCTAGAATCCCCCAGTGAGGGCCTGAAGGCATGGCTAAGCAGCAGGATTAGAATCTCTAATGACAGACAGCCTTAGAGTCCTTGCCTCACATTCAAGAGGCCTGGGTCCATCCCCAGTATCTGAAAATAAATAAATATAATAAATTGGGAAGTAGAATTAATTGCATTTCCCCTCAGCTTCTACCAGGGGAATGCGCATGTAATGTAAATGCACTTCCTTTTAATGAATGACAAACCCCTGGGATGTTCTACACACACTATTGGCCCACTGCCCTCATAATTTCATGAGCTCCACAGTATAGATACATGCAAAATCCTGGGCTTGTCTTCTCCAACCCTCTTTTCTGGGGGTCACTCACTCACTCACTCACTCAATAAACATTGGGCCCCTGTCTTGGGCCAAGTCCTATGCTGAGCAATAATCAAAGATACTCCCCGCACTGGCTGGTAGCCCTGTGGGGAGGCAGGTGATGGCAGGGGGCCCTCTTGCCTGGCTGGGGTGCGGAAGAGCGAAGTGTAGCAGGAGCGGTAGCCCGCCAGATCCCAGGGGACCCCTTATTCTGTCTCCGAGTCAGGAGAGGGTTTTTACAGGAGAAGGCTGCCTCGTGCAGCAGGGACAGCCTTTGGTATGGAGGACAGAGGTCCTGTGAAATGCCTGGCCTTTGTTGCTAAGACTGTTATAGCATTTAGCCGAGGGGTGGGGCAGGAGCAGGGCGTGGCGGGGCCCCCCCTCGTGGCCCCGGAAGCCCATGGATCCCTCCCTCCTCATCCCCTCCCAGCCTCTGGGCTGCAGCCTGGAGACGGTGCCTAGGTCTGCAATATCTTCTCGGGATGCCTTCTCAGGCAGAGGGAAGGGCGCTGCCTGGGAGAAGCCCTTGCCCTTCTTCTCCTCCTCTCCCCCAAATAGGCTTCCAGAGTCAAAGCTGCCTAAGCTCCTCCCCTAGAAAGTTTCCCTCAAGCCCCACCCCCAGCAAGCCTCCCACCAGCCCCACCCCAGGAAAGCTTCCCTCTTTGGGCCCTGCTTAGTCCCCAGCACCTTCTCTGCCCCCACCCCCAGCCCTCTCTAGAACTTGCTTCAGCCCCGCTCATAAGCCCCGCCTCCAGCAAAGTTTTCCAGACTAGGCCCCACCCTGTCAGTGTTCCTAGCCCCGCCCCTCAGGCCTCACCCAGCCTGGTCCCCCTGTCTAGCCAACCCTGTCCCTTGCCCTTTTGTCTTGCAGCTCAGGCAGCAGCGACCCCTACTGCATCGTGAAGGTGGACAATGAACCCATCATCAGGTACTCCTTGAATCCAGGGCTGGCTGACCTCCCTCATCCAGCCACCTGCTCCTCCTGGAGGACATGGATGAAGGTTGGGAGTCCCTAATCCCTGTACTGTCTCTGCTCTGAGCTGAGAAAGACCTACCTGCAACTTAAAGGTTATCCTTATCTACTGCCCTGTGGGCAAGCAATGTGTCACCTGACCAGTGGTTCCATCTTTGCAAACTCTGCCACCAGAGACACATAGTTGTCTCCACCCGTCTCCTGGCTAACCCTTTATCAGCCCTTGGAACTCATTTCCATGGATAGTGTGTCGTTTCTCCCGATAAGGCTCAGGCTAGGGAACTTGCTCAGGGCCTCACACCTAAGGAACTGACAAACCCAGACCGGAAGTCAAGTCTGGCTGACCCCAGAACTTTGTTGTACTCTGTCTTGGTGCCCCCCTCTTTGAGAGACTCTCACAGAGATTGTTCTGAATAAATCCATTCTTCAACCCAGAAGGGTCACTTCTTCTGGATGCCCTTTCCACCACCTCCCTGATTTGTTTTTAAATGTTATTGACATTCATTCATTTATTGTTTATTTAATGATTGAGAGAAAAATGCACCACAGCTTGTTGGCGGAGGTCAGAGAGCAATTTGCCGGAGTTGCTTCTCTTTCCACCATGTGGGTCCTAGGCTGTCAGGCTGGCATCAGGCTCTTCCACCCAAATGAGCTATCTTGCTAACTCCAACACCATGGACTGGTGTTTGCTGTCCTATCCTGTCCCCCACCCATACACCATCCTCTAAAGTTCATGACCAGAGCTACTAGGTTGCAATGCACACCTGGACAGGTGCAGCCATTGCTGGCACCTCGTACCAGTTGTCAAGCTAAGCCTAAACTCTGGCTTTCTTTAACCCATGGGAAGCATACAGGGAAAGGGACATGGTGGTTCTAATTGTCCCATACAGATAGAGAAACAGACAACATGGTATCCTCACGACCTACTTTAGAAGTAGTTGGGATGGGGCATCCCCTTGAACATCCATCTGGGCCACTGGTGACTTTAGCTCCCATGAAACCATGTGCCCTATTGAATCCCATGAGTTCATTGACAGCTCGGTTCTTTTCAAGGGGGGGTGCGCCACCTCTGTCCTACTACTCAAGACCAGCTAATGTCAACTGTGAGGTCAATTTCCCCCAATTACAATCTCATACCCTATCCAGGGTGGACTAGAAGTCACAAGACTGACAGATAGAAAGGAAACATCCTGTGCTCAACCAATGTGATTACCGGGTACCAGATGCAAAGAAGGTGGGGGTGGCATGGTCAGATGTTGACCATGGTTTTCTCCTGTAGGACAGCCACTGTGTGGAAGACCCTGTGCCCCTTCTGGGGTGAGGAGTATCAAGTGCATTTACCTCCCACGTTCCATGCGGTGGCCTTCTACGTCATGGATGAGGACGCTCTCAGGTAAGTCTGCCCTACTCTGCAGCTGGACCAGGATGTGACCATTGCTGACTGCTGGCCTCTGTGTGTCCTCTTTGCATCCAGCGTGTCCCGAGGGCCTGGGAAGAGGCAGGGTTGAGCTTGTGTATGGACTTGGTGTACACATGTGTGCGTGTGCATTGTGGCATGAGCTATGAAGTGAGCACCCAGATGTCATGAGTTTGGTGTGTTTTAGGTCTCATGGGCAGAAACATCATGTAGCGTGAGAGTCTCCACAGCCTGCACAGGAAGGAGTCCTGTGTTCTGCTCTATGGTGCCATCCTGCAACTGATGGCTTCCTGGAGGGTGGGGGCTGAGCTTGGAGCGCAGAGTTTTCTGAGATCCAGGCAAGCTGGTTCCATAGCTCAACTCTGACTCTCTCTCCACTCCTAGTCGGGATGATGTGATTGGGAAGGTCTGCCTCACAAAGGACACGCTAGCCTCTCACCCAAAAGGTAAGATACCCCACCTCTCCGATGGTCTACTTAATACCTGATTCCTACCATTCAACGTAGCCCCTGTTTTCCACTGGGTTCCTCCACCTGAGTCCCCAAACCCCAAGTGCCTGACACTACTCCAGACTCAGAGTCACTTGGATTATTTCTGGAATGCACACGTTTTTGGAGGCTTTGGCCCTGCCCTGGTCTCACTGTATAACCTCAGACACATCTTGACCTCTCTGGGCTTTTCAGATGTTTGAGCCCAGGAGCTCTTGGGTGTTTGGGCTCTGCCAGCTGAGTCTCTGACTGGTCTCATGGCTTCCTGAGGCACACACCTGTTCCTGTCTGTGAGGCTGAGGGTGGGGGGAAGGGGTGGCAGGCTCTGCTGACTCACCACGGAGCCTCCTGGCATGGCCAGGCCAGTGGCTTCCCTCAATGCAGCCTCAGACAGCCAGGTGCTCTTGGGGCACTTCCTTGCTAGTGGCTCCCTTTTAGCTCCCACACCTGGTCTTCGGATTATCACTGCAGTAGCCTGGAGGGAGCCCCCTGTTCTCATGTTTTAAGGCAGGAAAGTGGAGGATAGAAAGTTCCACAATCAGCGAGGGTCAGGAGCTTGTACTCAAACTGAGACTGATAGGGGGCCGACAGGTGGGTGTGTGCCTGTAATCCTGGCATTGGGGAGGGGAGGTGGAGCCAGGAGGATCAGGAGTGTGAGGTCATCCTCAGATACATAGTGTGAGTGAGGCCAGCCTAGGCTACATGAGACCCTGCTTCATAATGAAAGCGTGGAGGACTAGGAGTTGACTTAGTGAGGAAGAGCATTTGCTGGGAAAGCAAGAGGACCTGAGTTCAAATCCCCAGGACCCAAGTAAAAACCAGACATGGCTGCTTGTGCCTGTAACTCCAGTGTTGACACGGGAAGATGGGTAGAATCCAAGAGTTCACTGGCCGGACAGCCTAGCTGAAATGGGGAGCTTCAGGTTGAGTAGGAGGCTCTGTCTCAGAGCATAAGATAGAGATGCCCAACATCCAGCTCTGGTCCCTCATGCTCAGAAAAGCACAGCCCCACACAACACTGATAGTTAAATCTCTCCCACTTCTGACTGCTGCTCAGCTCCTGGGCCTCAGTTTCCCCATCTGCCGGGAATATCCAGAGGACATAGAGGGGGTAATGGAGGAGCTTTGGAGTGGGAGGTGGGGTAAAGGGTGTGGAGGGGTGGACACTATCCTTGGCTGACATGAATCCCTGCAGGATTCAGTGGCTGGACTCACCTGATAGAGGTGGATCCGAATGAGGAGGTTCAGGGCGAGATCCACCTGCGCCTGGAGGTGGTGCCAGGGACCCGTGCCAGCCGGTTGCGCTGCTCAGTGCTTGAGGCCAGGTGAGATGGGCTGAGGGAGGGGATGTGGAGATTGTGATTGTGGAAGCCCATCCCCTCTTCTTCCTCCTCCCATCGAAGCCTGCTCTCAGGGAGAGATGGTCTGATTGTCCAGTAGGGGATCTGAGGCCATGTGCACCCTTGTGCGCTCAGACACCAGTGTCCCAGTGCTGGGTCTGGGCTTCTTTATCCAACCCCAGTATAAACTTACCCTGTGTGTGTGTTCACATGTGTGTATGTGTATGGTTTGTATGGCATGTCTCTTTGTGTATGGGGTGTGTGTGTCTGTGTGTGTGTGGTGTCTGTTTGTGTGTGTGTGTGTGTGTGTGTGGTGTGTGTGTGTGGTGTCTGTGGGG